TTGGTGTGTTGTTTGTGTGCATCCTCAGATGGAAGTCTACAGGGTAACCGTAGCAACTGGAACATCTGAGTACTCTGGCACCAACAACTACATCTTTCTGACCCTGATCGGGGAGAAAGGAGAGAGTGAACGCACCCAGCTGGACAATCCTGGACTGGATTTCTGCCGAGGAGCAGTAAGTATCTAAACATGATGTGCATCATCATGACAGTATCACATCATTCTTTCATTTGAATCATCAATATCTCAAAAATTCTTGATTGTTAATATTCTAAATACTATTCATTATGCTAATTAGTAGTAGATGTCAGTGATTTGCCATGTGAAAAAAGAGAATCACAGCATCACTACAGGGCTGAGTCTACTTGTATCACCTTTAAGATGCGCTGTCTGCCCAGTTTCCAGCACAGAGATGCCTCCTTAAATGATAAGATATAAGACACAGACGTGTGAAAGGCTGAAGGATGATGCACAGTGCTGAGCGCACCAGCGATTGCTTTGATTCAGTTGTTATCATATTGTGAGGAAATGTACATTATTGATTTACTTCTTTTGAACCAGTGAGCAGTCAGTGCATTTGACACTTCCTATTTTTGACACATGGTCCTACCCCGGTGTTAACCTTGCGCAATGTGGAATGAAATGTTTAGGACGAGAGTAAATCAGGAGGGTGAAGGGTAGGGGAGGTTTGAAGGAACTCAAGACAGACGGAGAGCAAGAAGCAGGGTTCACCGTCTGATCTGAGAAAGTGTCTGGGTGTCCTCAGGGTACTGAAGTCAGCGAATGACCCTGAAAACCTACTGGAATTCTGTGTAGATGATGACAGAATTTCTAACTGCCAGCTTGCAGACACCATGGAGAGCAATTAACTGGCTGAAATGATAACATTTTCTTGGGAGTGAACTAGATATCAGAGTGTCTTGAGAGAAACAGACGGGAAAACCCACACAGTGAGTGCCTGAAGCAGGATCAGTTATGCTGATCAATCTCCCAAGAGTGGAGTCTGAATAGGACCAAAGTGAGCTGTCCCAGAACAGCAGCACAGTCATGTGGCTCTCCATCTGTAGGTGTAGAGCAGCAGGACTAAGAACAGTTCAGCTCTTAATGGTGATCTTAGGCATATCAAAAGGCCCAGCAGTGAGTTTTAATGAGTATGCAGCTTAAAGGTGTGAAGCTTTCTGCACAGGGAGAATTCTATTTAATTCAATTCAGTAGACTTTATAAGTCTCTGAGGGGAAATGTAGAGGGCAAATTAGACGAGCATGAAAGGAATAAAAAAAAAAATTTACATCAACCAAAACAAACACAATAGAATAAATGAAATTCAGCTATAAGCTGAACTAAAAAGTTACGTCTTGAGCCTTTTTTTTTTTTTTTTTTACAAAAAAACATCAACAGTGTCTGGAGAAAAGAGGATGAAATAATAAGTCCAAACAACTTTGGCCAATGGGCCTACGTGGAAATGTATCTCTTGATATTTTGCATGAAGTGCGATCTGATCTTGTGATCAGATAAAACTACCCTACCACCAACGCTAACTGCAACACTAACGTTACTGCCGACGGCTCTAACACATCATGTGTTCTCTGGGCTGGCCAGCTTTGGCTAGAGAAAACCAATCAGGCAACCCTAAGTGAGAGGAGGAACCTGAAATACAGAGAAGGGTGTTGGAGTATGAAAACAAGAACAAAACACAAAATCGACAAGAAATTGTGAGACCTTCAGGGTTTGTTAGGCGGCCAGGGAAGCCAGTGGGTCAGAGACCCCACTGATCCAGCTGGGGACTGGAAAGCAATTAGACATTAGAACATTAGAACATTAGCATGAACACAGGAACATAGAACATAGAGGGGAACTTAGAGGACTAAATTTATAGCACAGAAACATGAACCAGAAACTCAACAAAGGAGCACAACCAGCACAGATAATGAAATCAAACCAAAACAACAGCTAAACCCAATCATGAAACCAAACCCAGAATCATGATAAAGGGTGATTACAGAGAGGAAACATCTGATTGTGACGGGCAAAGGTGCTATGGAGACTGTGGGTGAAGACCAGAAACCAGGAACAGGAATAATGTAAAAACATGGAAGAAAGGAGGAAAACAAAGAAAGACACCAGGCACTCAAGTAAAAGCACAACAGAATCACAGATAACAAAATAATCATAAGGATCACTTGGCAAATGAGCCAATTTCCATGAAATAACCACAATCCATGGCTGGGAACTGTTGCAGACAACTGTTTGCGCTGTGGGAAAGATCTGTTTTAGAAATGGATGTCAGCCATCACTGGAAATACTCTGAGATAAATAGGAATAAATAAAAACCGTGCTGTGTGAGTAACTCTTAGGTAGTACACAGTAATAACCATAATCTGGCCTTTTTCCCTCGTTTCTATCATCTGTCTTTCCCTCTCTGTCCTTCCATTTCTTTCAGGTTGATCAGTACAAAGTGAGCAGCCAGTCAGCTCTAGGCTCCCTACAACTGGTTAGGCTGGAGAAAGAGAGGTACTGGGTTGAAGATAACTGGTTCTGTCGCTATGTCACCGTGGAGCCTCCAGGTGGAGGAAAAGCCATGACTTTCCCATGTTACCGCTGGCTTATTGGAGACACCAAGGTGGAGATAAGAGAGGGCACAGGTAGGAAATAGTTTACACATCCAGAATCAATCTGCAGAGCTCAACTGTAAAGGTGCTGATTTGAACCTCTTTATGAGGCCCTCAACTGCTAATTGATCCAATTAAAGCATCATTCCACTACACCAGTGGTCAACATGATGTGGAGCAAATATCTTTTCCTATTCATTTTTGCTGTCCTGATATGCACATACTGTTTATGTAGATAGAACGACTTAGTTTCTCCTGGCTTCACAGCAAAGACCCTCATGGAGGACTCAGCAGGACGGCTGCTGGCACACAGGAAGGCAGAGTTACAGGAGAGACAGAAGACCTACAGGTCCCGTACATATCTTATAAAGACTCCATAAATTGGGAATTACACCTTTTTTAACATTATTCTGTATGTGCTTATGCTTGTATGTCAGATGGATAACTTGGGCTAAAGGGATTCCCAGATGCGTTGATGCTAAAACAGAAGCAGATTTACCCCAAGATGTCCGGTTTGACAATGAAAAGAGGAGTGATTTTGAACATTCTTTACACTATGCGTAGGTGATACACACAAACACACACAGCCAAATCTTCAGTGATTTAAAAATATTGTAAAATGTGCAGTACTAGACAAAGACAAATGTCCTTAAACGTAAAGCTCTTAACGGAATACTTCATTGACATTAAAGACTTTTTGAAAATGAAAATGAACCTGATCCAATACATTGTGGTCCAACTTCTTACAGGGATTTCTTAATACGGGCAATCTTACTTTGATTGAACTTTAAACAACTTATATGCTTAAAATGATATTGCTTAAAACAGTTTAAATGGAAAGCTAGTACATTTATTGTTTAATTTAAGGTAAAATCCCTCTATACAGTACCACTATGCCGCTGGCAGACATAGCTTGTTAATATATCTTTGCTGGAAATATGTCTATCTAAGGATTGTCATAGTAACATAAATGTTGTTGCCAGATAACAACCAGAGCATCATAAACTACCAAGTTTGGACTGCTCATTTTGTCAGTGGTCAGCTATTTAGCATTAAACATTTACACTTAGAAAAAGGAGAAGAATATATTTATTTTATTTATTTATTTTATTTTGGAGCAAAAACCAGAATCAAAATTTATCTAGATAGTTGAGTTGACACTTTAAGGTGACAGTGTGAAATTCCAAAAAGAAATGTAACAAGTTCAAAAAAGAAATTCAGTCCAGGCAGTCAAGGAGTTGCTCAGAGAGGTAAAACTGAGTCCAAAAAAGTAATGATTCAGGCTTTGGGGGGTATGTTAAGTTAGTCATCTATTCACAATTTGAAAAATGTGCTCCACCCATTGGTTGAGTAGGATGTTGAGGGTTAAGTAAGTTTGTTTCTTTTTCTTTTTATTAGCTTGCTTGAGCTGTCTCTGAAGAAACTGACCATCACATTTGGGAAGTCCTGGAGTGACCTGGATGATTTCAGAAGGATATTTTGGAAGCTAAGGAGCCCCATAGCTGGTGGGTTAACAGACACTAAACCATACCACACTCACAGATATCCTAAAAGATTTAACAGATTTAGAACTACTTTGTGGATCCACTGCCTCTACTGGTACCTTCTACACCACATTTATCAACCTTCTCCACAGAAAAATAACAAGTCTATTCTATGATACAGTTAAGCTCAACACAAAACTCAACTTTGCTGTTCTTTATTCATTTCCCTCTTTAGATAGGAAGCCTGCATGTCCATGCTACTTCTATCAACACAGTCAGAATCATGAACTCTATTCCTGCTGTGTCCTCATCTGGGCTCCAACCCTTTCCATTTTATCTGCCAGTAAAAATAGTTTCACCTTTTCCTCATCTTGTTCCTGCACTGCTCTGCATCCTAAAATTCCTGTCAACTCATCTGGATTTCGGGTTTTATGTCAGGTATCACTTTTCCTAAAAGAGTAGAGCAGGTAGAGCTTTACCTGTAGCAGAGCTGAGATTGTTGTACTAAAAGCAGGGCTGAAAACCACAAACTTGACCCTTACTTCACTGTTAACATAGTTGTTCATCCTAAATCTAAAAAAAACAAAATACATTCGGTTTTGCTTTTGAAATGTTTCAGAAATCTACGTCTTCACAAAAAACGCCCAGTAGACAGTTTTCCAACAATGCACGGAAAACCCAGTATGTGTAGAGCTATGGCAACATGCAAGCAACCCAAAGAGGACGCTATTAAATTAAATTAGTCACTAATTAGCTTAGTCAGTGTCATAATGTGATCAGTCAGATCAAACAACATGGAAAACACATCAGATTAGTCCATTTTCAAAAGTTAATAAAATTGCTGGCAATGTCTTGACTTCTGCACCACAGTGACCATTGCAGCATGCACAAAAATAGGGTTTCTGGAGATTCTTAACTGTTGACGCTGTCCCTGGTGCTGGACACATCAAATAGCTGTGTATCACAGACAATATGCCCAGTTGTCTTGCAACATTCTGAGTTGATTACTTTTGAAACACGAGAGATATCATAACTTTCATCGCAAACAATTTATTTCTGAAACAGTTCTGTAACCTAAAGACTAGTTCTAAAAGATAGGCCCACTCAACCATTAATTGTTTGGGTATTCAGACCCAAACAAAGTTCTGAAATAAAAGCGCATTCTTTAAATTTGGATTCACCCTGTATTTCTCAACATGTATAAAGGTATTAAGCATTTTAAAGAACTGCTCAGAATCAAGCCTATAAGGTGCAGAACCTTGCAAGCTACTTGTGATAACTGCCATATCGCCTGCTGAAGAGTTCTGATACACTCATGGAAAACTGGTGGTGGATGAAACTGATCACCAGCCGTATCCACAACAAACCTTTTCCACAGTCCCTGAATGCTCACAGTGCACGATGTTAGGACTGCAGAGTTCAACTTGACCCCAATCAACTGAAGGAGGACTTAGAGTTAAATGAGCAATTGGCATTTTTAAAATTGAACAAGTTCTGCATATAGACAATCGTTATGGAGTGACCAGTATCTCTCTCAGTGAGTTAAACCATTGGAGTTGTAACTCAACCTCTGTCTGTGTGTGTCTCAAGAATATGTCATGGAGCACTGGCAAGAGGACTGGCTTTTTGGATACCAGTGTCTCAACGGCTCCAACCCAAGAATGATTCAGAAGTGCAGCAAGCTGCCAGAAAACTTCCCTGTCACAGCTGATATGGTTCAGAGCTCCATGGGGGAGCGAAGAACTTTGGACAAAGAACTCAAGGTGGAGAAAAACTCCATATTTGTAGACAAAGGCAATAATAGAACATTTTAACAGCTTGGCTATTATTCATTCTTAACTTAAATGTCGTCCCAGTGAAAACATCCTCCTGTAATTCTGCACCTGTCTTTTCCAGGCAGGAAATATATACTTGTTGGACTATGCCATCATGGATGGGCTTCCAACTAACACCATCAAGGGAAAGCCTCAGTACATCGCAGCTCCCCTCTGTCTGATGTACCAGCACCCAGATGATGGACTCATACCGATTGCAATACAGGTAATTCGCTCAAGACTTAAGTGTGTGTGCACTATCACACAAAATCATGTCGTATTGTGTGAAGTTTGATGAGTATGTGAAGGCATGGCCCTCTCACAGAATAGAGTAAATTGTTTGAATGACACAACAAACATTTAAAAAATGTGCCATGCTATCTTTGGTTTTCCATTGGTACCTGCTCTACTCCCTCACTATGACTCACATACAACTGAATCATGATGAGTAGATCCCACTGAAAACCACTTGTGTGCTGTGTAGGCTGTCAGCCTGATAACTTCAAGTTCCAGTCCCTAATCCTTCTCCTGCATTAGTACTGATCTTCAGGTAGCGTTAGTGTGTGATGCTCCTTGAAAACACAGAATACAAGGAGATGATGTGCAAATCCAGAAATATTACCAAACTACATATTTATAGGATTAACCGATGATCAATGACATTGGTAGCATTTTAAAGGCAGAATTCATGCTTTGTTTTTGGTGAGAAACAGTACTGTCTGATATGTGTATCTTCTTTCTCCTCAGCTTGACCAAAGCCCAGGTCTGAACACACCAATATTCCTGCCCAAAGACCCACCTCTGGCGTGGCTGTTGGCCAAAATATGGGTGCGTCATTCGGAGTTCCAGATTTTCCAGGTCTCGTCTCACCTTCTGAGGACTCACCTGGTATCTGAGGTCTTCTGTGTGGCTACTCTGAGACAGCTGCCAGCAGTACACCCCATATACAAGGTATATGTCCACAGTCTCCAAAAGAACCAGTGTTAGTTGCACTTCTTACTGAACATCTACAGTGTTTCCTAGAGAAAAAGTACAGATTTTACAGGTCAAATGTTACTCCAGTAAAAGTAAAAATAGAGTCTGATTTTTTCCTTCGAAAATACAGTAAGTGTTGAAACCACTTTCAAATGTTTAATCTTGTTATTTTAAGAGTCCGTTTTGAGTGCTGTTCAGAACAATTGCGCTTTAATGAGTTCCTCATTCCCTCCTCAGTCATAGCTGGTGTGGCAGTCATTCTATACCTAAAACGGTCCCAAAGAACCAGTCACACTATCACAGTCAAACTTGGGCAGGTTGCATTATATGTTTTGCCCAGAGGCACTTCGATAGTATGCATTGGGGAAGGGATTTGAACCGGAAACATTCTGAATGCAGGGCTAATGACTGAGCATTAGAGGTTGCATAGTTTAGATAAATAGAACACATTTCAATTAATCTTTTCCTCACAAGTCAATGGAAAGCTGTAACTTGAAATATTACTCCTACAGTTTCAGACCAGAATTGTTATTGTTTTATTATGATACTACAGTGTCAGTGGGACCAAATAGATGCAAAGTATGTTAACAAACAGGACCAGCAGAAGTAACAAGTAGTGAAAGCCTTCAGAGAAATTTCATGGAGTAAAAAGTAGGATTTTTTAAAGGTTAAAATGAAGGGGAGTCAAAGTAATTGAAGTACTGAAGTACAGTTTTCAAGTACATTTACATTGTTACTGTCCACTTCTGTTGGAGGGTCAGTGGTTTGACTCCATGTTTCTCTAGGCCACATGTTGATGAGTCCTTGGGCAAGGCTCTGAAGCCCATGTTGGCTTCCGGGGTGTTAATGTTTGTGTGAGTGGGCGATGGTTCTAGTTTTCTGTGTCCTCCTGTTGCAGCTCTTGGCCCCCCATCTGCGCTACACACTAGAGATCAACTGCAGGGCACGGAATCAGCTCATCTCTCCAAATGGCATCTTCAAACGAGTATGTCGCTGCCACAATATTTGAACCTCTTTGATTACAGCTTTATAACATTTCATGTCAAAGAGATGGCACAACCTGTTTCATTTAGCAGGTTTTATATATCATGTTATCATGGAAATCATCTGGTTTCTTATTTATAGAATAGAATCTAAACTAAAAAGGGCATACACCAAAACATTTTTGGAAAACCAAGGGCTCACACACCAGCACAGAATTTCCTCTTTAGAAATCATAGCTGCACCTCAACGTTTTCATCTAAAGTTCCACCTCATGCTCCGCCCTCCACACGCCCACGTTTAACCATACATGGTCAACGCCACTCATGAATGTCAGTGTGTATTTAAATGAGACATCTGAGATGGAGAAAAGAACTAATCAACACATCTTTATTCTTCTCAGTATTACACACACAGCAATTTTAGGAACTGCACCATTCTGTTAAATCATCCATAGGTCTGGGATATTGAAGCAAGCTTCATGGTCTCTCTGGGTATATACAAGATGTCCAATAGTCATTTATTGGTCTGCCAGAAGCCCAGAATAGCTATGGCTGAAAAGTCTCCTGCTTCATTTCCTTGACCCCTGTCATGTCAACAAGAATAATGACATCCTGCTCATCAAGATGATGTTTGGGTGCAGGTTGTCTCCACAGGTGGGGAAGGCCTCTTGGTTCTGGCCCAGAGGGATTACAAGCAGTTGACCTACCGCTCCCTTCAGCCCCACTGTGACTTCAGTGACAGAGGAGTGTGCCAGCTCCCAAACTATTTCCACAGGGATCACAGTCTGATGCTGTGGGAGGCCATTCAAAGGTAGAGGACATAGCCTATATGAGGGCTGCTTTGTCATGAAAAGTACAATAATTCTTTTATCTACCAGCATGGTCAGGTGCAACTTATTTTACAACCACTTCTTCCAGTTTTGTCTCAGGGATGGTGAGCCTTTATTACCAGACTGACCAGGATGTTCAGAAGGACTCAGAGCTTCAGGCTTGGGTCAGAGACATCTCACAGGAGGGTTTCGCAGATCTTCCCAACTTTGGTCAGTCACTAACATCCTAGATCTTTTTTATTATCGTCTGTCAGGATGAGCTTGATCAGCACTAGTGCACTTAGTGATAAAAGAAACATGCAGTGTTACTAATATTAGGATGACAGGTGTGAGGGACATTACTGTAAAACTTAATAGAAGAAAAGCCTTGGACAACTGGAACATGAGTCAATGATCATCTGCAGATCTGTAGACCAATGTCAATGTTCTTTTTTCCTTCCTAATATACTGTTAGGTTCTTTAAAGAGGTCATTAAATACTGACTACAGTAACTGCTCTGGAGTCAGCTAATAGGCTCTTGTTCAGCTGATGTCACCAGAAAGGTGTTTCAGTCACCAAAGGATGGAATACAGTAGTCTAATATCCTTTAGCTCTTCACTTAAAGAGGGAATTCTATTCTACATGTGCTTCTGTTTACATGTGATGGGGGCGTGTTTCAGGTCTGCCAAGTCAGCTCATCAGCAGAGAGGAACTCTCCACTTTACTGGCAGTGGCTCTCTTTACCAGCACGGTTCAGCATGCAGCAACTAACAATGGACAGGTACTGAGCATCCACACACACACACACACACACACACACACACACACACACACGCACACACACACACACTCTGCCCAGCATGCCTGACAATCAGGGTTTTCTTCTGTCTAGTTTGACTGGTGTGCCTGGGTACCCAACACCCCCTGCTCCATGAGACTCCCTCCACCAGAAGACAAAGATGCTGTTACCATGGAGATGATCATGGCCTCCCTTCCTGATGTCAGCCAGTCTTGTGTGCAGATGGCTATAACATGGCATCTGGGAAGAGCACAACCAGATGCAGTGAGTCATTGCTTCTGTAGGGCATTATATTAGGAGTTTTGTGTCTAATTTGAATAAGTTAAATCAAATCTTATCAAAGCAAGGTTTAGTTGTTGCAAACACAGTCATACATGGTAAAACCAGCAGTAAAAGGCCTTTATGCCCCCTTCTTTCTGTTTTAAGGGGGGCGCTCTGGCCTCAAGTTTATTTAGCATTGACCGGTGTGCTCTTTCAATGCAGATCCATCCAATCTGTGATTTGAATCAAGGATTAAAGTATGCTTCAAAGCTTATAGTGTCATGAAATCCCTTCTTTTATCTTTACATATTATTTATACCCCGTACCTGAACCAGGGTTTAAATCCCTTCTTTTGTTTTTTATCTTATTTCTACACCCGACCTGAACCAGGGATGAAATCCCTTCTTTTATCTTTTATCTTATTTCTACACCCGACCTGAACCAGGGTTTGCATCCCTTCTTTTATCTTTACATTGTCTTTTGCCGCATACCTGACCCAGAGATGAAATACCTTCTTTTGTCTTTACATCTTATTTCTACCCCGTACCTGAACCAGGGATGAAATCCTTTCTTTTATCTTTACATCTTATTTCGACCCCATACCTGAACCAGGGAGGAACATTTAGTGGAACCATAACTCTGATCTGTGGGCGATCTCTCCTCCTGAGCCCCAGCTTCCACTTTTACTACCAGGAATGGATGTTATATCGAGTGAGGCCATCGCTTATTGGTCTTTCAAACAGAGCCAGGAGACGGTTTGCCAGTCTAATGAAATCCCGGTCCATTTCAAATGCAGGACGTTATAGCAGGTGGCACTAGTTGGCAAATCCTACAGAACCAGTCAAATAGGAAGTTCTGAAGAAGAACACCCAAGTTCCACTCAGAAGAGAACTACACTCTCTTAAACTGCTCTCCATTTTCCTTTATCCAGATTCCTTTGGGCCAATACACAGAGGAGCACTTCACTGAGGTCCGTGCCCTGGAGATGATTGACCAGTTCAGAGGGAAGTTAAAGGAGATTGAGGAGCACATCCTGAATCAGAATGCAGGACTGGACCTGCAGTACCTTTTCCTCCTGCCAAGTCGCATAGAAAATAGTATCACTATATAGATGCTGTGACACCACAGAGACACTCAATGAAAACCTGACCCCAAACTCACCGTAACATTAAGGTTTTTGTCTTAAGGGATGAGGGATGTTCTGGTATTAACTGGGAAATGGTTCTGAGCATAATTGGTAACTCTTTCTTCTCTCTGGATGATGTTTTGTGTTTTATTTCTAACATAGTCGATGTGCAATAGTTGGTTTGTTGTT